TTTTTAATTATTTAATTAAGTAATGTACTACATTACTAATATAATGTTATAAACTTATAATTAATTAAATAATTATTTAAATATAATGTAATGTTATAATTGATTAAATAATCATTTAACTAGTAATGTATTAATATTTATCAATTTATCATATATAATTAATTTATTACTAATTTATTACATATATACTTAGAACTTAATAATTGAAGTAAATAACAAAATATTATATTATTATTCAATAAAATATACTATTTTATTCAAAAATAATTCTTTTAATAACATTAAAACATTTTTAATTGGTCCTAATTCCAATTATACACTTAATTAATCAAAACTTTAATATTAATACATTATAATATATTAAAGTTTTTTATATGGTGTATTTTATATGTAATAAGTATAATTGCATATTTATTTAATTAGGTTATTGTAAAAATTTAACTTTTTCCATTTTATTTTTTTTTTATATGTAAAATTACATAGACCCCCAATTCTTCACAAATATTTCATTTCAACCCATGTTCCAAAACAGGGTACCCGCAGCAGGTTCCAAGCAGGTTCAAAACCAAGTACCCGCTGTAGGTTCTTTTTCCAGGTTTTGGTTCTAGTTTCTCCACATGTAGGAACTGGAACCGAAATCGGAACAGGAACCGTATAGTGTTGGTTCCAAAAAAAGGGAATCGGAACCTACCCGCACAGTGTTGGTTTCGGGTAGGTTCCGGTTCTACCTGCTACCCGTGCTCACCCCTACCGAATTTACGTGATTCGGCAAAACTTTGTCTACATCGATGGATGTGAGTCAAATGACTAAAATAGAGAATGATAGTATAAGTAATACACTCACGTTACACCCAACCCAAAACCCGAAACCTATGTACACCCTTCTCTCTTATCTCTCCAAACACTTGGCCACTTTATGCACGCATATCCCAAAAGCTGAAATTTTCTTCTGTAATCTATGGCTCTTATTATTTAACAAGACCTCACAAAACTCACTCGTCACCCATACATTTTCTTAGCATCACCACCCACGAGTCTATATGTAATCAAAGAAGAGGAGATGAACATATAAATTTCTTTGGATGAAGAAACCGTTTCAAATCCGATGCTTACATTGTTGTCAAGGCATTGTGATTTTTCAGACTTCTTGTTCCTCTTATCCATCACAATAAGTTCACAGTGCCATGGCTAATGAATAGATTTTGTATCATATAAAGGGACAATGGGCTTCTTTGTCTTTCTTGCACCAAGTTGTGAATTTTCAAGGGACAAACATCAATATTCGGGTTGCAATTAGGCAAAACAACAACAAAAAATGCCAATTTGAGAAGATTTTTAATAAGAAGTTCATTTGGTATGTACTTGAGATTATCTTATCCAGCAAGCCTTCTTCGGAAAAGATTCAAGAAGAGAACTTCTCTTGATGATCTCCAGAAGTTCAAGAGATGCAATATTGGAGATTTTTGCACTCTTTGATCATGCAGAAATTCAATGAGCTTTTCATCATTTCAAAGATCTCAAAATATACAAGAATTTCTGATATAAGTTGGAAAGGTCAAACCAGCATCGAAACTGAGATCTCAAGAGTACTGCAAAACATTTTTTGGTCAACACTGCCTCAGCACTCCATTCATAGGATATGCCTTAAAACATTAATAAATACAAATTATGTAGAAATGCTCTCCCAATAAAAAAGGCAATGATTATGGGAAAATATAAGAATAAGTCTAATAAGTGGAGAAAGAATATCTCAAGTGCTTGCAATATATAGAGGTCCATCACCCATGAAAAGTGAGAATAGCAAGACAACAGATAACAAAGTGGCATAGCCATGAAAAGTGAGAATAGCAAGCAATGTAGGAAATATAAGGCTATCTCTTTCTATATATAAAATTTTGAAAAAACAAATAAATAATGAAGAAGAAGAAGATTATTAACCTTTTTACATGGATGCTGGCATCTATTAGGAAAACATTATCTGATCCAGCAAGCCATCTCCGGAAAAGATTCAAGAAGAGAACTTCTCTTGATGATCGCCAAAAGTTCAAGAGATGCAATATTGGAGATTTTTGCACTCTTTGATCCTGCAAAAATGTAATGAGTTTTTCATCGTTACAAAGACCTCAAAATGGATAAGAATTTCATATATAAGTTGGAAAGGTCGTACCAGTATCGGAACTAAGATCTCAAGAGCACCGCGAAACATTTTCTAATCAACACTGCTTCAGTCACTCTATTCAGAGGGTACACCCATTAATAAATACATATTATATAGAAGTGCTCTCCCAATAAAAAAGGCAATGATTTTGGGAAAAAAAAAAATAGAGAAAGAATATCTCACATGCTTGTATTAAGTAAGTTGTTATGCCTCAACAAGAGATATAGAAGTCCATTACCTGGTTTGTTGACATTATTTCTTCCTTTAACAAATGAAATAAGACAACAGAGTGACAAACTAATAGTGACATAACTCATGAAAATTGACAAATAGCGTGCAATGAAGGAAATATTAAATATAAGGCAACATCTTTTTTGTATATAAGAAATTCAATAATAATGATAATAATAATGATGAAGAAGATGATGATGATGGATACTGACCCCTTTTTGAAAAAACAATAATTTTACTAGCTTCCAACCTTACAATCATTGCAGAAAGTTACCTCCTGACGAAGAAAGTTATAATAAAACGTTAAACTATTAGTAACATTATACTTACAAATAAATCTTATAAAGATTTTTATATAAAATGAGGTGATAATATTATACTTACAAATAAATCTTATAAAGATTTTTATATAAAATGAGGTGATAAACAATAAATAGAAGAGTGAAACAAAAAGTTAAATTCATTAAATTCACTTTTTTATTCATTTTTTGTCATATCACTTTATATGAAGATCTTTGTAAAAATTTTTTGTAAGTGTAGTATTACTCTTAAACTATTGTCAAATGCTATCACATATCAATATGTTAATGTGGAAGCCTGAAACAGCATCGTTTTGGGTAAAGGAATACGACGTCGTTTTAGGCATAATAACCGGGACTAATTTAAACCGCAGGATGCACTCCAGATCTAACGGCTAGAATCAATCACTCAGTCAAACCATAAATAAACTCTCTTTCGTTCAGAATAAAGGGAGACACACATTTTTCTTAGGGTTTTCTAGGTTTGCATTTTCTGAGTTAGGGTTGAGATTATTATTCCAGCTTGTGGTGTAATCAGTTCGAGTGGTTAGGGAGATTAATCATTCGGGTGAGAGTGTTGTTCTCTCGGGTTAGCGATATTCAGAGGGTATCTTGTTAGGCTGATTGCAGTTTGTATTTGTGTAGATCTGGTGAGTGTCGAATCTGTGTAATCTTGATTGTTCTTGATAATAGATAGTGCAGCAAGCTCATACCGTTCTTGAGCTCAACGTGGATGTACCTTATCCATAAAAGGATAAATGAACCACGGTAAATCGTGGCTTGTTTGAGTGTCTGTTTTATTCTTGAATCTTGGTGTGATTGATTTGTGTTGGTGTATAGATCAATACTAGGCTTGTGTTCTAACACAATATTTTAAAATCATAATGGAAAAGAAGTTTTCATACATTACAAATGTAGGCAGGAGAATTCACTGTCATCATCCTCCTCTCTAAAAGATGATGATAATTTGGGATTACCATATCCTAAAATTTTAGATATAAACTAAGTTTATATCTTATAAACCTGTAAATTGTAAAGCTCATTTTATATCTAATATTTCACTATACTTTAAAAACAAAAAAATAAAAATAAAAAAATTAACCAATAAATTTATTTTAAAATTTTGATCTGGCTTGCAGTCTCGGTCAGCCAGTTGCTAGTTCCGCCTCTGCAAATAATTTAATGTTATTTTTTTGTCTTTTGTTTTATAATTCTATCAATTATGACTCTTTATATTTGTGTAGGTATCCCTTCTCACTCTTCAGGAAGAGTCTCTTATGACTAGATAATATTGATCTTGAAAAATCAGTTTGTGTGTATCTCAACTAATCTATCAGAACTTTGAAGTTGAACGACTACGTAAGCTCTTCAATGGTCACTTCTATTAAAGCCTGTGAAGATTTAAACTTAAAAATTCATAAAACCTCATTTTACTTTTTTATCATTAAGCTATTTAGTGATAGTGATCGTTCTTAAACAAATATTTCTAAAGAACTTATGAAATCCAAGAGACACATAAGCACAATTAAAGTGTCAAACCACATAACAACTAATATAGAAATTATACTTGTAATCCGTGGGTTCAAACCAAAAGAGCATTTATTCATAGAAATTATATGTTCATAGCCTAAAACAAAAGGCATTAGTTCACATGCATTGAGTTATAAAGTCTCTATATATTTTTTCTTAGTATTTTGTAACGGGGACGGATTATATTTTTTTTATTAAATATTTCAAAATACATACACATTTTGGTGGTTTAATTCATTGAGAGTTTTTATTTCAATCAATATTTTAGTAGTATTTTTGAAATTTTTAATGTTTTATTGTTGATTTTATGGTACATTTTTTTTTTTTTAAGTATAAATAAAGGAGTCAAGACCATGATGAGGTGGCTTATGACATCCGTCTAAAGTATTACTTTTTAAAAATCTTTTTTTAGAAGAGATTTTTGTTTATATCAATTCTAGAGTTCTCATGATTATTTAATGGAATTTTATTATTTATTTTGTTGTTTCTTACACATGATTATTTTGTTAATTTTGAAATAATTAAAATCTCTTTAGATATAATTTTATGTCTATCGAATAAAACCCGACCCGTTTCATATCGACCCGAAATTTGAAATTTTACGCTCTTGCTTGAGAGAGTAATCACACGCACAACCTAACGGTCTTCTCTATTAAAAAAAAAAAAAAATCAAATCTCAGAATTCTCAAAACGATCTAAACTCATCCATCATCTTAATAAAATACTCTCCTTTCTATCTTTTTTAATGGCTTCTTCTTCTTCTTCTTCTATTTCATCAATTCTCCCAGCCCACTTAAACGCTCACTCTTCCCAATGGACCGTTCATCGCCATCCTCCGTTCATCGCCATCCTCCGTTCAATCCGTCAACTTCCACGACTTTCTCAATCGCATGCGAAACCCAGCTTCCCTCGATCTCGTTCGATCCATCAAAAGGTCGCGCTATTTCATCTCATTTTACTTTTTTATTTAATTTTCTGAATTTGGGTTTGTTTAATTGTTTATTTATGATGGATTTTTTTTTTGTTTTGTTTTGTTTAATTTAGTTTATTTGTTTGATTGTGTGTGGAATGGGGTCGGTACCGGTGCGTTTTACCGAGGTGATAGTTTGATTAGTGAGTAACGATGTTTTGGTGGGTCTAGTACAATTTTGTTGCTACACTGCTGAAAATTTCCAAATTTAGATACGGTAACGGCACCGGTCCAGTGCAGTAGCAAACAGGTACCAGTGTCGTAAGTTGTCGTGGTGATAGTTTGGTTACTAAGTAACAATGTTCTGGTGGGTCTTTATACAATTCTGTGGCTACACTACTGAAAATTTGCGAAACATAGATACGGTAACGATAACGGGTCCAGTACGGTAGCAAACCCTTGTTTGATAGATTTTTGCGGTAATGTTGCTAAGCTGATATTTAGTGTACAATGTTCTGATAATTTTTTGGGGAAAAAAGAAACCCCTGTTAGGGAGATTGTTTTTTAATACTAAAATACATGAAGTAACGAAAACATAGGTACAGTAATATTGATAGACTCAATACTGTTGCACCGTTGCAAACTTGCTTCATGTGATTTAGGTTTGGTTTATCTAATTGAAGTTTGTATGTTCATTTCAGCTTCATAGTTTCGTTTTCGTTTTATACTGCAAATCCTGAGAATGATGGGAAGAGAGTACAGGAGTTCTACCTCACAATGGAAGGTGCTATTAGAGATCATCCCTTGTGGGTTGGTGCTACCGAGGAAGAAATTGACTCTGCATTGGAGGTACTGGTTAACTTAAAAACTTTGCCCATGGTTTTTGATAATTTTTCAGTATGAGATATAATGTATAACTCAAGTCTGTTTTAGTAATATATCAAGTGTGACAAAATACTAGGCTGGTCGGTTTTTAATAGTTTTTGAAAATATTGAATGACTATGGAATTTAAGTATGTTCTTGGTTTCAAGAGTACCTAATTAAGTGTAATGAGATGTGACACAGTAACTAAGCGGGTCAGGTTTTCATAATTTTGGTACTATTGGGTAATGATAGACTTTATATATTTATCAGGGTTCATGATGATTATAATTTTATTTTATTTTTATAGTATGTAGCATGTGACAAAATAATTAGCGGTTAATGTATAACCATGGGAAAATTTAACATGAAACCAGTGTAATGAAATATGAATTCTAACGCTATATTAGTTTAGTATATATAGTGTCACCGTGACTGGCTGTGTAACTTATAACTATGGAAAATTCAAATAATGCTAACGGTGTGAAAATTTAATTGACCTTCTCAAAAGTTTCTGAAAATAATCATGAACCTCTTCCAAAGTTATGTTTTTATAAAATTTTCTAGAAATTTACCATCTCATACACAATTATGCTAGTGTCTCATCACTTTTGCCATATGCTGCAGGGGTTGGAGCAGTATGTCATGACAGAGCTGTTTTCTCGGACGTTTTCTTCAACTCCTGAGGATTTGAAGATTGATCAGGAAATCTATGAGAAGATATGCCTGCTGCAAACCTTCTTGAGGTCTGAGCATTTGGATATACCGGTGGTACTTCAAAATGAAGCTTCATGGCTGGTATGGCTACTGACCTTCTTTTATTGTGGAAAGTTTATTTTGTCTGGATTGAAATTCATCTTACACTGCTTATTGTAACTAGGCATAGTTTTCTAAGTGTTGTTGACGTGATGGTGGTGGTGTAATGAGCATTTTTAATGCTTTATATTATGATTGCCTTTTGTTCCATTTAAATTGTGAACTTCAATAAATAAATATTATAGAATGTGAACTGAATGGTTGATGTACCATCGTAACATAATTGTTTTTTTATTGTTGCTCGATAAGTGAATATAGGTTCTAGAATTTAAAGAAAAACCATTGAGGGAAGACCGGTCCCCTGTTTTTGTAGTTCTAATTTTAGATTTCCAAACCCTGGCCTCAAAACTTGATAAACAAAATGATATTATCTTAGAATAGGCAGAATTTTGAAAACACTAGATGAAGTTACAAAGATAGGGCTTATGCTTAAATTCACACAATCAGTCAGACTATTATGATTAGACATTAGATGCAGCATTACTTTGGCTTAAAAAAAGGGCAATGTCTAGCTGCATGCATTTTCCACTGGCCATCTCATTTTGAGTTTAAATAATGATTTTTTTTTATTTGGCAAACCTCGATGGTATGAGGGAAATCCTATAAATTTTGTTTCTGTATTTATTCTTATAAATGTATTTTATGCTGGATTTGCAGTTGCAAAAATATTGCAACTGCTTATATGCTGTTGTTCATAGATAAATAATCATGTAAACTAAATTAGGTGATTAAGGCTTTGATGAGTAGTGATTAGCTTATGAAATGATCTAGCAACAATAGCTTGGACCTTGGATATTATGATTGATTATCTATGGATGATTATGTTCATTCTGTGTATGTAAGTTACTCTTCACCATCATTGTGGAAGAGGGCCATTTATTCAAGTGACTGGAGCTATACCTTTATCCAGTTACATCTTTATATTTTATTTCTAATTTAGATTGTCATTTTTATGGACTGAATATTATTAGTATATATTGTGTACTTATTCATATTTGTGCCTTTCCCCAGCTTGTGGAGAAAGAATTACAGAAAATGAATGCTGTAAAAGCTCCTCGTGAGAAGCTTCTCCGTATTATGAATTGTTGCAGAGTGATCAGCAATTTACTTCTAAATGCATCGATGTCAGAGAATACGGTACTAGCAGGGGCTGATGACTTCCTCCCTGTCCTTATTTATGTTATGATCAAGGCAAGCTCTCCTTGGTAATAAGTCGTTCTGCCTATCGTCATTTCTCAGTTTGGAATCATGGTTCCCGTGTCCTGCATATTTATTAATTCATTGGTTGGCTCTCAAGAACTGTGACGTAAGAGTGGATAGGGTTGTTCAAAATCAAAATTAATCTATCCAAACTGATCAATTCAATACATGGCAACTTCATGTTGAATAGGATTGATGAATTGGACGGATTGGATTTGATCCAAATTTTCAAAAACGATTCAACATGTTCAATTAGCGTATGCTGTCAAAAATGTTCAGTCAAAAGAAAACTGAAGAAATAGATGTTAAATTGAGTTCTTCAATCTAAAGTTAGCTCAATCTTGCTGTATATTTTCTCCTTTACTTGGACTAAATTAGGTTAGATTTTCTTGAATTTTGGTCGACTTAATTTTCTGTTGACTTGAACTCGACCCTATCTTTTTTATTTGGATTAGATGGCTTTGAAATTTCTACGAACCTGTCAAACTTGGATTGAGTTTGACTAGTCCTTGCATTTGCATTTACAAACACACTTTGTAGCTAGATGTCTGAATATTTGATTGTTGAATTAGCTGTAAAATATTATTTTTATTTTTTGAGATTTTTTATTGGCGTATGTATATTCTTGGTATTTTCTTTTTTCATCATCACTTCACGTTTCTTTTTGTACTATATAAATTAGAAAAATAGGTGAGGAAATTAATATTTTATGTGCCCTTTGGTTCCATTTCTATGTTATACTTGGCAAACATGATTTGGAGAATACAAATTTGATTTTGAAAGGCTACTGTATGTCGAAGTTGTTTATTGATTATTCTGCTGCTCGTGAGGAGCAGCGATTGGTTCTTAAAATGAAGTTCTTACGGGTTCGAGTTTGTGTTGTTAGGCCAATCCTCCGCAGCTGCACTCTAACCTTAAATTCATCCAGCTGTACCGGAGGCAGACAAAGCTTGTTTCAGAAGCAGCTTATTATTTCACAAATCTTGTCTCAGCCAAGACCTTTGTTGTCGATTTAAATTCTAAATCTCTTTCTGTTGAGGAAATTGAATTTGAGGAAAATATGCAAGCCGCAAGATTAGCCAACAAAGTCCCACAAGTAGAAGTCTCGTCCACCTCAAACGATTTTAAAGCCTTGGGAGATGTGAGAGGTCCTGGACCATCAGGAAGAATTCATGGCGACGGAATACATACAAGTGGTGAGCTTGTACTACTGAAGTATCTATCTGTTATACATGTCTGGTTAAAGTTGTTTGTCTGCAATTTCTAACATATTGATTATTATCTATCTATCTTACATTTTTTTTAGATCATTAGATCGAAGTACTTCGGGAAATTTTTTCCATCTAGTATCTATTTATGTATCTTTCTAGTGCATATACTACATAAGCAGTGCCATGAATTTTGGAGTATCTTTTAATAATTTTGTTTATTTATATACAGAGTCATCTCTAATGCGGATGTTTGACTTTTTTTACAATTTAGATAAAAGATATAATTTTGGTCAAATTCTCTCGTGTCAAAGATTGTATAATTTGTCTTTAGCATTCACTGGTGGTAGTGAACAGTTAACCAGTAATAGTAGACAGTGGTCTGGATTGTAAAAAAATGTGGATGTATCAGAGTACCCTATACATATATATATATAGAAGAACAATGTATCTATCTGTCTATCAAATAGATATATTATATCGATGGTATAGGTATATCACAGTGCAGACTTATTTGTAAGTTTGAATAATATATCATTTATTTTTTCCTAATAGTGCAACAATGTTCACTATTATTTCCTAGATAATGATTCATCTGTGACCAAATCAGGTGGGTATAATTATCCTTTTATGGAAGCTGAGGCTGATGATTTAACAGTTAAATATGTGGAGAGATTGCTGAGAGTGTACAGGGATGTGGTATCAAAATATACAAGTCTCTGTAGATCAGTTAGACACATTTCACTAACCAAGACAGTTCCCTCCATTCCGGGTTCACAAGGAAAAAACGTCTTGTTTTTTCCTTCTGAAGATGACAGAGGTAATTGAACTCTCTCTGGTAATATGTTTTCCAGTTCGGTTTGCTTTGGTTCAAACTTGTTCATGTCTGCTGCTTGCTTGCTCAAACTCATGTAACCGAAAAGAAATCAGTTGGCTAGTCTATTTTGTGAATACTAAAGTTTGTGGTAACTTGACAATAAGTTTCTTTTCATTTTGTTGTTCTTTTCCAGAGGAAAGTCGTCTGACATTCAAAGGTACACTCTTTAAAGTTTGTCATGGAAACCAAATGTAGAAAACTGTTCCTAAAAGCATAGTCAATCAAGTCCGGCACCTTGATTTATAGTGATAATCACCAAATGCTTCACCTCTTCAATTCATGGCATATAGAGAAACCATGTTGGCTTCCCCTGTAAAATTAGAACATTATTAGATTCTCATGGTATTCGATGACAGATTTTGCGGAGACAAATGTTGCTGGGATTGCATCTGAATTTTCAATCTCAGCATACTGCGTAATTAATTTGAAGCCGAGAACTGTAGTTATTTCTTTGATCTCATTCTTCTTTGTTCCGAAAGTGTGTTCACTATTTTCTTGAAGCAAGGGATTCAAACAAATGTGTTAGATCATGTCGATTTACTCATCTGTTGTCTTAAAAAACCAGAAAAAGAAAAGAAAAAGACATTGCTTTATATTCAGCTTTATAGTTTCAAAATAATATCGGATAAATCTAACTCATAATTTTTTATATGTACTCAGGTTCAGAAAAGGGATTACCTGGGAGTCCAGGTACAGCCAACGACGATCTAGAAAAGGAATTGCCAGGGAGTCCAAGATCAGCTAATGATGATATAAAAAAAGAATCGACCGGGAAGTTGAAGAAACGTCTGAAGACGATATAGAGTAGCTACAATCATCAACGCCGACTAATCTTGATCTTATGCAAAATCAGAAGTACCCTTTTTGACAGGTCTTTTCAAGACTCCTTGTTGTACCTAGTTTTGTACACGTTGTTGTTTTATATGGGGTCATATTTTCTATTTGAGCTAAGTTTTGATTTCTCATGTATGAAGTTTTACTAGTAAATGCAAAAGGGAATTAAATGCTTTTGAACATTGTTTGAGTAACAAATGTAGTTTGAATTAGCAGAAAAAATTCATTGATTTGGATACATAGAAAATGTATCCTTATAAGACCCAAGTATTTCAATTATGCGATTATTGTCTTAACACGTGTGTCCTTGAAGATCAAGGATGGCACACGTTAAGCTACTAGATGACAAAAATTTAGTATTTTGATGCATTGAAATTATATTTTTCATCTTTTTATAATAATATATATCAAAATAAGTAAATATTTTGTCTTCTATTATTTGTAATGTATCTGTAGACAATTCAAGAAAGTGAAAGAATTTGTATTAATCATAGAATTCTCCTATTCTTTTTCAGGTCTCCGTCTCGACAATAGCTTTATTCTATTTCTAAGTTTATCTAAACCAATTGAAATTTGTTCCTTCATTATTCGACAAATTGATGTTGCACAAGTTCATCGAACATAAATCTCAATTTATTCCTCGTCATGGTGGTTTTCTTTTAAGAAAAGATAAAAAAAAAAGCACATGAATCCCTCTCTAAAAGTGTTTAATTTCTTAGGCTTCGTTTGGTTGATTTTGGGAATACTACTTTGTATTCCCAAAAAAGTTAAACAGTAATACCTAAAACTACACACAATATTATCAACTTTATTCACATTTTTTAAACCCTCTAAATTTGTTAATTCAATTAATAACCCCTAAATATTTTAATGTTTTTGTTACGGCGACTCCGGCCACCCTCCGGTGGTGGTGGCCGGCTGTCCGTTTTGAGGGTGGATTCGGGTGTTTTTGTTAACTTTTAATGTTTTATTATAAGGGTGTTTTTGTAAAAAAACAAACATAGGGGTATTTTAGAATTTGTAATCCTACATCGTAATACCCGCCCAATTCAACTTTTTTTTTTACTTTTTTCAAAAAACTTTCCCAAAAACACAAAATTGTGAACCAAACAGAGCCTTAGTCCTCTCTTTCTCTCTCTCCATACATAATTTTGCTACCAAAAACTAAAAAAACAACACACACCCAAAAAAAAAAAAAAAGGAAAAGTATTCTGTTGCACTTAAAATGGGTATCTAACTCACCAAAGTAAGTTAACCAACTCTAACATAAAATAAAAATCAATCTCTTACAACAGTCAGTCACATACTTCGGAATTTCTCTTTAACATACAAGATGTCAAACTATATAATCAATATTAATCTCAAAAGAAACAATTATTCGTATCGGGACCAAGACAGGGAGAAGTAAAATATTGGTGAATGCATTTCCTAATATTAAGTAACTTTATTCTAGAAGGTTAAAAATTGTCATTTTATTCTAGAAGCCCTAATGTGAAAAGGAAGAAACTTTTCCATTTTGAGCTAACATTATGAAAAGATCAAATTCATTTAGATATTATATGGAGCTTGACGATCATATAGTTGAAATTAAATATAAATTCATTTAGAAAATTAGAACATATTATTATATTGAAATAGTAATGAGATTAGAAGATTATAACCAACAAATGGGTTGGCCAAGTGATAAAGACTTGGGGTCAAGGAATTTGCTCCCCCTGTGGTCTCAGTTCGAATTACAAGAACGTTACTATATTGTTAGCCACGAATTGTGTACGACTTGTCTTATTCAGAAGCTTTGTTCGGTTCGAAAGACTATCGAAATACGCGTAGTTGACCCAAACAAGAATCAAGTAATGAAAGAAAGAGTTGCTTTTGTTGTCGTTCTTCTTCTTCTTCTCTTATTAATGTAATTCTTGCTTAACCCAATGTTTCATTCAGCTTATTTGTAACCCTTCTTTGCTTACTCTGTTCCCTGTATTTTTCTTCTCTGCATGATTTCAATGATTTATTATGTTTTCAAAATTTTACGTTCTTTGTTGTCGAATGTGGGTTTGATTGGAGATTGATCTGAAGTTGTTTTTTTTATAGAGATTGGATTATTGAGTGTTTTGTGTGTTATATCGGTTGATTTTTGGTTTTCTGGTCACTCTCCCACTCAATTGTTTTAACCCCAAGTCTTCAAATATGCGAAACCCTAGGTGGTGGAGAGCGGTGAACGACATGCAATTGGCGTCAGAAAGTTGGGGGTTTTGGAGGTGGCAGGTTGGTAGTTATTGGTGGTCTCGAGAGGATTTCCAACATTGGAAGCGATCGAAAAAGGGAAAGAATCAGGAACCAACCATGTGCGGTGGTCGACAATGGAGGGGTTAGACGAACGAGAGTTGGAGGGGTTTTGTGAGAGAGTGATAGGGAGTATTTTCGATTTCGGCCTAAAAACGATAGCCAATGGGCGTGAGTCATGGGAAACTGGCACGTTTTCTACCAAAATTGTCCAAAGAGTGCAGTTGAGGCAGGGGAAGGTTGAAATTGAAACTTGGTTGATTCTTCTGACCAATATATTAATTGACCATTTTATCCATATTTATAACGGTTTTTGACTATCTACCCTTCTTCAAAGAATTTATATAAAATCATGTTTTGGTAATAAAGTTGTATTTTAAAACTTTTAAGTGAAAAAATTGTCGCTAAACCATGATTTGGATGGAAAAAAGTGGTTTACCCTCCCAAATAATAAAAAACATATGGGCATCATTTTTACGTCGTTCAAACAAAACCCGACCCGTTTCATGTCAACCCGAAATTTGACTCTGCTGCTGGAGAGAGTAATCCATCACGTGCGCAACCTAACAGTCTTCTCTCTTAAAAAAAAAAAAAAAAAAAAAAATACAAATCTTGAATTCTTGAAACGATCTAAACTCACCATCATCTTAATAATTACTCTCCTTTTTATCCTTTTTAATGGCTTCTTCTTCTATTCCATCAATTCTCCCAGCCCACTTAGACACTCACTCTTCGCAATGGACCTTCATCGCCATCCTCTGTTCAATCCGTCACCTTCTACGACTTTCTCGATCGCATCGAAACCCAGCTTCCCTCGATCCGTTCGATCCATCAAAAGGTCTCGCTATTTCATTTCATTTCATTTTACTTTTTTTTTGTTTTTTGTTTTTTTTATGTGGTTTTTTTTTGTTACTTTAGTTATTTGTTTGATTCTGTGTGGAATGGGGTCGGTACCTTTGCGGTAATGTTAACGAGGTGATAGTTTCGTTAGTGAGTAACAATGTTTTGGTGGGTCTAGTACAATTTTGTTGCACACCACTGAAAATTTCCAAAAGTTAGATACGGTAACGATACCGGATCCAGTGCAGTAGCAAAGAAGTGATAGTTAACAATGTTCTGTGGGTCTTTGTACAAATTTTGTGGCTACACTACTGAGAATTTTCGAAACACAGATGCGGTAAGGATACCGGGTCCAGTGCGGTAGCAAACCCTTGTTTGAGAATGTTTTGCGGTAATGTTACTAGCTAATTTTAGTGTACAATGTTGATAATTGTATGAAGAATCGTTTTTGTTTTCTAGAACATGGTGCACCGAAATGAAACATAACATGGTACGTTACCAAACCCATACTGTAGCAAGTCCCCGTTTGAAAGATGTTTTTAGTAACGCTACTAGTGATGTTTTGGTGACAATTTTTTAATAATTGGACTGAAAATATCGTTTTTGGGATACTAAATCATGAGTAGTCTTAACCATAATTTAGGTGTAGTAACGGTCCATACCGAGCAGACCCCTGTGTACATTACTAAACTGATGTTTCGTGTATAAAATGGTATTGAGAAATTGTTTTTGATTACTATAAGTTTAACGATGTTACATGTAGTAACAAAAACATAGGTACAGTAATATTATAGACTCTACCGTTGCACCGTTGCAAACTTGCTCCATGTGATTAGGTTTGGTTATCTAATTGGGGTTTGTATGTTTATTTCAGCTTCATAGTTTCGTTTTCGTTTTATACTGCAAATCCTGAGAATGATGGAAGGTACAGGAGTTCTACCTCACAATGGAAGGTGCTATTAGAGATCATCCCTTGTGGGTTGGTGCTACCGAGGAAGAAATTGACCTGCATTGGAGGTACTGGTTAACTTAAATTGCTCATGGTTTTTGATATTTTTCAGTATGAGATATAAAGTATAACTCAAGTTGTTTTAGTAATATATCACGTGTGACAAAATAACTGGCGTTCGTTTTTAATAGTTTTTGAAATTGAATGACCATGAATTTAAGTATGTTCTTGGGTCCAAGAGTACCAATTAAGTGTTGAGATGTGACACAGTAACTAAGTGGCTAGTTTTTTGTAATTTTGGTACATTGGGTAATGATAGACTTTATAGATTTATCGAGGTTCATGATGAATAAATTCAAATTTATTTTGTGTATTTAGCATGTGACAAAATAATTAGCTGTAATGTATACCATGGGAAAATTTAACATGAAACCAGTGTAATGAAATATGAATTCTACGCCATAGTACTTTAGTAATCTATATGAAATAGTTACCATACTGGCTGTGTAAATTATAACTGTGGAAAATTCAAATAATGCTAACGATTTAAAATTTAATTGACCTTCTCAAAAGTTTCTGAAAATAGTCATGAACCTCTTTCAAAGTTATGTTTTTATAAAATTTTCTAGAAATTTACCATCTCATACACAATTATGCTAGTGTTTTAACACTTTTTCCATATTCTGCGATTGGAGAATTATGTCATGCAAAGCTGTTTTCTCGGACATTTCTTCAACTCCTGAGGATGTGAGATTGATCAGGAAATCTATGAAGATATGCTGCTGCAAACCTTCTTGAGGCCTGAGCATTTGGATATACCGTGGTACTTCAAAATGAAGCTCATGGCTGGTATGGTTACTGACCTTCTTTTGTTGTGGGAAGTTTATTTTGTCTGGATTGAAATTAATCTTACACTGCTTTTGTAGGACTAGGTATAACTTTCTAAGTGTTGTTGATGTTGGTGGTCTGTAATTGAGCATTTTTAATGCTTATGTTATGATTGCCTTTTGTTCCATTTAAATTGTGAACTTCAATAAATAAATATTATAGAATGTGAACTGAATAGTTGATGTATCATCGTAACATAAAGTTTTTGATTCTTGCTCGCAAGTGAAATATGGGTTCTAGAATTAAAAAAAACCATTTAGGGAGACCGCTCCCCTGTTCTTTATAGTTCTAATTTTAGATTTCCAAACCCTGGCCTCAAAACTTGATAAACAAAATGATTATTTTGTTAGAATAGGCAGAGTTTTGAAAACACTAGATGAACTTACAAAGATGGGGCATATGCTAAATTCACGCAGTTAATCTGACTATTATATTAGACATTATGCAGCATTACTTTGGCTCCAAAAAAAAAGGGAAATGTCTAGCTGCATGCATTTCTTTTGTCCATCTTATTTTGAGTTTAAATAATGATTTTTTTTTCGGCAAACCTCGATGGTATGAGGGAAATCTTAAAAATTTTGTTTCTGTATTTATTCTATAAAATGTATTCTTGCTGGATTTGCAGTTGCAAAAATTTGCAACTGCTTAAATCTGTTGTTCTTAGATAAATATCATGTAAACTAAATTGGTGATTAGGCTTGATGATATTAATTAGCTTATGAATGATCTAGCACAATTGCTTGGACCTTTGATCTTATGATTGATTATTCATCTTCCACACTGATGATTATGTTCATTAGTGTATGTAAGTTCTCTTCACCATCATCGTGGAAGAGGGCCATTTATTCAAGTGACTGAGCTACCTTTATCCATTTCATCTTTATATTTATTTCTAATTTAGATGTCATTTTTATGGACTGATATTATTAGTTTACATCGTGTACTTATTCATATTTGTTCCTTTCCCAGCTTGCGGAGAAAGAATTACAGAAGATGAATACTGTAAAAGCTCCTCGTGAGAATCTCTCTGTATTATGAATTGTTGCAGAGTGATCAGCAATTTACTTCTAAATGCATCAATGTCGGAGAATTGGTACTAGCAGGGGCTGATGACTTCCTTCCTGTCCTTATTTATGTTATGATCAAGGCAAGCTCTCCTTGGTAATAAGTCGTTCTGCCTATCGTCATTTCTCAGTTTGGAATCATGGTTCCCGTGTCCTGCATATTTATTAAGTCATTAGTTGGCTCTCAAGAAGTGACTTAAGAGTGGATAGGTTGTTCAAAATCAATTAATCTATCCAAACTGATCAATTCAATACATGGCAACTTCATTTTGATTAGGATTGATGAATTTGATGGATCGGATTTGATCCAAATTTTCAAAAACAATTCAACATGTTCGATTAGTATATGCTGTTAAAAATGTTCAGTCAAAAGAAAACTGAAGAAATAGATGTTAAATTGAGTTCTTCAATCTAAAGTTAGCTCAATCTTGCTGCATATTTTCACTTTATTTGGACTAATTAGGTTAGATTGTCTTGAAATTTGGTCGACTTAATTTTCTGTTGACTGAACCGACTCTACCTTTTTATTTGGATTAGATGGCTTTGAAATTTCTACGAACCGGTCAACTTGGATTGAGTTTGACTAGTCCTTGCATTTGCATTTACATTTGTATCTAGATGTCTGAATATTTGATTGTTGAATTAGTTGTCCAAGATCAGCCATGATGATATAAAAAGGAATCGGCCGGAAGTTGAAGAAACATCCAATGACATATAGAGTTGCTACAATCATCAACACCGACTAATCATACTTATACAAAATCAGAATTACCCTTTTGACAGGTCTTTTCAAGACTCCTTATTGTACCTAGTTTTGTACACCTTGTTGTTTTATATGGGTCATTTTTCTATTTGAGCTAAGTTTTGATTTCTCATGTATGAAGTTATACGTAACTGCAAAAGGGAATTCATTGGTTTTGACATTGTTTGAGTAACAAATGTAGTTTGAATTACAGAAAAATTCATTGATTTGGATACATGGAAATCTATCCTTGTAAGACCCAAATATTTCAATTATGCATTATTATCGTAACGTTTTGCTTGAAGGGCACAAGTTAAGTATACTAGATGGCAAAATATTTAGTATTTTGATGTATTGAAATCATTTTCTTTTGTATTTTTATATATCAAAATAAGTAAATATTGTCTTTTATTATTTGTACGTGTGCGTAAGACAACTCGAGAAATGAAAGAATTTGTATTAATTTCATGAATTGTACTATTCTTTTTTAGGTCGCTTATTCATTTCTAAGTTTATCTAAACCAATTGAAATTTGTTCCTTCATTATTTGACAAATTTGAGTTGAACGGTTTATCAAACATAATTCTCAAATTTATTCTCGTCATGGTGGTTTTCTTTTAAGATAAAGATAAAAAAGTGTTTAATTTCTTAGCCTCTCTTTCTTCTATTTTTGAGATTTTTTATCTTTGGTTCCATTTCTATGTTATACTTGCAAACATGATTTGGAGAATACAAATTTGATTTTGAAAGGCTACTGTATGTCTAAGTTGTTTATTGATTATTCTGCTGCTTGCGAGGAGCAGCGATTGGTTCTTAAAATGAAGTTCTTACGGGTTCGAGTTTGTGTTGTTAGGCCAATCCTCCGCAGCTGCACTCTAACCTTAAATTCATCCAGCTGTACCGGAGGCGACAAAGCTTGTTTCAGAAGCAGCTTATTATTCACAAAATCTTGTCTCAGCCAAGACCTTTGTTGTCGATTTAATGCTAAATCTCTTTCTATTGAGGAAATTGAATTTGAGAAAATATGCAAGCCGCAATTAGCCAACAAGTCCCACAAGTAGAAGTGTCATCCTCCTCAACGACTTTAAAGCCTTGGGAGATGTAGAGGTCCTGGACCATCAGAAGAATTCATGGCGACGGAATACATACAAGTGGTGAGCTTGTACTACTGAAGTATCTATCTGTTATACATGACTGGTTGATGCTGTTTGTCTGCAACTTCTAACATGTTGATACTATCTTCTACTCACACTGTTTTAAGATCATTACATCGAAGTACTTTGGGAGATTTTTTCCATCTGGCATCTATTTATGTATCTTTCTAGTACATATACTGTATAAGCAGTGTCATGAATTTTGGATTATCTTTTATAAGTTTGTATATTATATATAGAGTCACTCTATGCAGATGTTTTGACTTTTTTTCAATTGAACTGGGCGTCTACTACCGTCAATAACAGTAAAAGATATAATTTTGGTCAAATTCTCTCAAGTCAAAGTTGTATAATTTGTCTTTAGCGTTAACTGGTGGTGGTGAATAGTTAACCAGTAATAGCAGACAGTGTTCTGGATTGTAAAAAAATGTGGATTTATCAGGACTCTATACAATATAGAATAACAGAGTATCTATCTGTCATCAAGTAGATATAGTAGATATATTATATCAACGGTATAGGTAATCACAGTGCGATCTTTTCATTAGTTTATAATTATCATTTATTTATTTCCTAATAGTGCCATGTTTAGGATTATTTTCTATATAATGATCTCTGTGACCAAATCAGGTGGATATAATTATCCTTTTATGGAAGCTGAGGCTGATGATTTAACAGTTGGAGATTTGGAGAGATTGCTGAGAGTGTACAAGGATGTGGTATCAAAATATACAAGTCTCTGTAGATCAGTTAGACACATTTCACTGACCAAGACAGTTCCCTCCATTCCGGTTAGAAGGAAAAAACGTCTTGTTAACACGTCCTACCGAAAGTACCAGCATTGATGAGAAAAGAGAAGATGACAGAGGTAATTGATCTCTTTCTGGTAATATGTTTTCCAGTTCAGTTTGCTTTGCTTCAAACTTGTTCATGTCTGTCGCTTGCTCGCTCAAACTCATGTAAACGAAAAGAAATCACTTGGCTAACCTATTTTTTGAATACTAAGTTTGTGGTAACTTGATAATAAGTTTCTTTTCATTTTGTTGTTCTTTTCTGAGAGGAAAGTCGTCTGACAATCAAGGTACACTCTTTAAAGTTTGTCATGGACTTGAAAACCTTATTAAAAGTAACCAAATGTAGAAAACCTTTCCCTAAAAGCATACTTCATCTCGTATCAAGTCTGGCACCTTGATTTATAGTGATATCACCATGCTTCACCTCTTAAATTCATGGCGTAGAGAAACCATGTTAGCTTCCCCCCTAAATCGAACATTATTAGATTCTCATGGTATTCGATTACAGATTTGTGGAGGCAAATGTTGCTGGGATTGCATCTGGATTTTCAATCTCAGCGTACGGCTTATTTGATTTGAAGCCGAGAATTTAGTTATTTCATTGATCTCATTTCTTCTTTGTTCCACAAGTGTGTTCACTATTTTCTTGAAGCAAGGGATTCATACAGATGTTTTGATCATGTTGTTTTACTCATCTGATGACTTAAAACCAAAAAATAGACATTGCTTTCTGTTCAGCTTTAAGTTCCACTATAATATCAGGTAAATTCAACTCATAATCTTTGATTTGCACGCAGGTTCGGAAAAGGGATTACCTGGGAGTCCAGGACCTCCAGGTACAGCCAACGACGATCTAGAAAAGGGATTGCCTGGGAGTCCAAGATCAGCCAATGATGATGTACAAAAGGAATCGGCCCAAAGTTGAAGAAACATCCAATGACAATATAGAGTAGCTACAATCATCAACACCGACTAATCTTAATCTTATGCAAAATCAGAATTACCCTTTGACAGGTCTTTTCAAGACTCCTTATTGTACCTAATTTTGTACACCTTGTTGTTCTATATGGGTCATATTTTTCTATTTGAGTGAAGTTATTGATTTCTCATGTATGAAGTTTTACTGGTAAATGCAAAAGGGAATCATTGCTTTTGAACATTGTTTAACAAATGTAAGTTTGAATTAGCAGAAAAAATCCATTGATTTGGATACATATAAATCTATCCTTATAAGGTTATTGTCTTAACTTGTGTCCTTGAAGGTCAAGGAGGGCACACGTTAAGTATACTAGATGACAAAAAATTTAGTATTTTGATGTATTGAAATCATTTTGTTTCATTTTTTTATATATAATATATATCGAAATAAATAAATATTTTGTTTTCTATTATTTGCAACGTGTGCGCAATTCTACTTGAAAAAGTGAAAGAATTTGTATTAACTTCGTAGAATTCTACTATTCTTTTTTAGGTCGATTTATTCTATTTCTAAGTTCAATAATATTATACTTATAAAGAAATTTTACAAAGATTTTCATACAAAATGAGATGGTAAGATATAAATGGAATATTAAATTCACTATTTCATTCATTTTTTAACACATCAGTTTGTATGAAAATCTTTGTAACATTTCTTTGTAAGTGTAGTATTACTCTTCTAAGTTTATCTAAACCAATTGAAATTTGTTCCTTCATTATTTGACAAATTTGATGTTGAATGAGTTCATCGAACATAAATCTCAAATTTATTTGTCGTCATGGTGGTTTTCTTTTAAGATAAAGATAAAAAAGAGTTTAATTTCTTAGCCTCTCTTTCTTTCTCTCCATACATAATTTTGGCTATCAAAAACTAAATAACCCAAAATAAAAATAAAAAATAAAAAAAAGGGGGAAAAGATGTGAAATCCCTCTCAAAAATCAACATTCCAAAGGGCATCATCTCCTTCACCACAAGATAGATGAACTTCTTTCATTCTTTCCACTGATTTGCATATTCCACTGCAAGACCAATCAAATGATGCCACGCAAACATTCCCAGCTCTTGCTTTCCATTCACAATCTACAAAATACACACACAAACAATACAAATATCATCTACAATAACAAATACGATGGTCGGAAATTCTACAACAGGAGAATGATAACGTGTTTTTAACACAATGATTAGATGAATGTAAATATGTTCATTTCACTGAAAACTTTTTCGATAGAGTTGATATAGATTTGTATCTATTGATTTATCGATCTATATAATTCAATAATTTAGGTGATTAAATAGCTTTAATTAATAAAATTACCTGGAGGAGTCCCACAACACATTGAACGATCATCAACATGCTCAACTTCCAATCCTATGAACCATGCCCCCAATGAAACATCTTCATTCGCATATCTATGCAATATGGGCCTGCCAATCATCCAATCAAAAATTCACATTTAATGATATCATAAATCGACGTTCTTGATAAGGGTAAACTCGTAATTTATCAAATTTATAATCATCGTTGAAATAAAAATCTTGAATTGTTGTATACTATAATTCAAAGATTCTGATTATAATCCAATGATAATTACTAATATGGTTATTATTAGTTTAGAGACAACATTTTGTTTTTCATAAACTTACAAAGAAACCTAGTGTGGAAAAAAGTAAAAGACATAAATGCCCCTTAAACTAATAGTTAAATGGATACACCCCTTATGCAATTAGGGGTATTTTTGTCTTTTAATATTCCGTAAAATTTAATTGTAATTAACGAGTTTCTAAGCTTTTTACTGTATTTTAAAACTTATCAGTATATTTGTGGAAAATAAGTGTCTCTAAACTGATAATACCCTTTATCAATTTGATAACGTTACCAATTAATAACGATGAAATCTCAAATGAATTGATTAATTCTAAATCAATCTTATTGAATGTAGGGTTTAGAGCTGAAAGGGATGATGAACTAACGAATTGATGGAGATATAGGCAGCAAGATCCTTGGAAATGGCATAGATTTGGCCAGTTGCATGCCTGAAATATTTGTTCCCTTCTTCCCCAAATTTCCAATACTCTGGCTCATGATATTTCACCCCTCTGCATTAAAGAAAATCTCATTAATTTTCTACATTATTCAATATTTTAGGATTTTAAAGTTTAAAAATATGGACGTGTTTGATATATAATACAAATTCAATTTGATTGAATGTTTTCAAAAACTGTTCTTGAATGTAATTATAAAAAATATTATTAAATTTAAAAAAAAAATCATTTTATTTTATTATTTAATAAATTTTTCCTTGAAAGATAGTTATAAGTTATATCAAATATATTTTTAAATATTAAATATATTGGAATGTAATTCAGAATTGGAAAAACAAAAGAGCACTCACTCTTGAGAGAGAACCGGACCGGACTTCATGCAACCAATATAGATTCTCGGTTTGGACCGGTGCCTTCCAAGTGTATTCATTAGCATTCCTAAAACAGCACAAAATTAGAAATTCCTTAATTATTAATGGATATCATAATTAATTAATCAATGAATAATTAATATAATCATTAATTAATTAATTAATATTATGATTAATACGTAAATCTAACATTTTTGAAAAAAAAAAATAAAAACTTTCTGATCGTATCATAATTCTTGAAAATTCCATTATTCAAAATTATTCGTTTTCGAAATTCATATCAAAAACCTTTTTTCTCAAATATAATTTTTTCACAACTTTTAACTTCAAAATCGGCTATTATTTGAATATAACTATAAAAAAGATTTTTAAAAAAAAAACCACCTCTTCTCGACGAAGTATGTAACAAAAACTTCCTAATCGTATCTTAATTTTTGAACATTTCATTTCATAGATCGTTTTTGATAAAACATTCATACGAGAAATAAAAGAAGTAATTAGAAACTAACCTATATTGACATGAACATCATCATCAACCTTCAAGTAGAACTCAGCATCCCAAATGGTAATTGCAGTGGAGAAATATAAGCGAGTCTTAGTGGATAATTCATGGTAGCCTTCAACATGTTTGAGCCTCAGAAAATCATGAAACTCAGCTTCTTCCTCATCAATGGCTCTGTCAAGAACACCTCCTGGTGTGGCACTGTGCCCTATCACAAACTTTATCACTATACCCTTTTCTTCCTCCAATTTCTTCAACTTTGCCCCTAAATAAATCCATTGCAAAATTTTCATTTAATATGCTTTGACCAAAAGTTGTAAGTTTCATTTATATGGGTAAATAGAAAACCTGTAGGCATCCATGTTTCTCTGACCGAGTCTCTCCTTTTCTTGCTGCTAAAAGCTGTATTAATTCCAATGACCACAAAAGCCTTCTGTAAACTGTGATTAGTACTTGCTCTTTCTACTGAATTTTGGCCATCAATATTCCTTGTTCTAGCCACTGCTAGTTCCATTTCCAGTGCTGAAATTGTTTTATCAAGTGACCTATATATATTCATACATTTATAAAAAATTAAAAAAAAAAAAAAAAGATTAATTCCATATAAAAATTAACCAACATCAAAATAACACAGCACCAAAAAATTTCTACGGTGGAAGATGGTATGGATACCGATCATATTTCGAACGTTGAACAAGAGCAAAGAGTTAAGTTAACCTCAAAATATAATATCGACGTGGAAAAATTCCAAGTATATTTCAATCATTCAACGAGGATAAACAGTTCAGATAAAATAACTTGTAATCTCAACTTTATCAATAATAGAAAAGATTAATTAACTTACTGGATAGCTTGGTGAGTCCTTGTGACCTCTTCCATGATATCTACTGATTTTCCTTCAACAAAATTCTGCTTAAAATAGAGAAAAAAAAAATATTAATATTCTTAATTTTGTAACATTTATTACTGTTGCAATTCAATAAAATAACAAAAAATTCAATTACACCCACAAGAAGTACTTGAGCTTATTAATTCTAGAGAGAAATTTAACTGAAACTTGAGTTGAGCTTATATTTATTTTATAATTAAGAACCAACTCAATTTATTATACAATACTTAACATTATAAATATTTTCTTAGTCGCATTCTTATTTTCAGCGGCTTATTTCAGAAGCACTTCTAGAGACAAAAACAAAGACACATGCAATTGTCAGGAGTAGCTGTAGAATTAAGAACTACCGAAGGATTCTTGGGGTCAAAATCACTTCTAACTTCTGCAAGCTGCTTCGAAACATGATGGCGAATGATCGGAAATTCTCGCTCTTCTTGTTCATCATCATTCTTCTGAAGTGTGTGATGAGTACTTGTCCATGACCTAACAACTGATCCTGCAAGAAAGCAAGCTATGCAGAGAACAATAATCACTTTTCCTGAAAGTGCTTTTCCACTCATCTTTCTAGGCTCGTTCTCAAGCTGCCAAGGCCACCCCCCTGCCGTGTGCATCAGTCGCCGCAATCCCACGGTCAGCTTCGTCTTTTTGGCAGCCAAAAGCCTAGGGTTTTTGCCCTTGGCAAACTCCATGAAAGCAAAAACAGAAAAAATGAGAAGAAATTGAATCAGTCACATAATTTTCTAGCCTAATTATACGTCAAACAGGAAGATTAATGTTTAATATAACATGTCATGTGAAGGAATATGATGTGCTAAATCGATTAAAAAATCAAAGTATTAATTTGACAAATCTCTTGTAAATTAATTATCGAGAAGCAAAATTGAATACTCCAGCTTCATATTCTCCACGTTTTCCAAAATTAATTCCTAGAAATTTTGATCATATGTAATGTTGAAAAAAGTTGGCAAATTTTAATGCAAATTTCCTAAATGGAAAAACAAAATTTACATAACAAGCTTAAAAAAAATATATAACTTTTAAGTAATATACCTTGAGAGAGCATAAAGATGTTAATTGCGGTGGTTTTCGATTGATAAATTCTTGATATAGAAGAATGATATATATATATATTTAGGGGTGGGTTCAAGAGCATTTTTCGACGTATCTAATTAATATCTAATTAGAGAGATATATAAGTAATGGGAGTTGTTTGGTTGCTGAGAAAATTGGCAGTTCAATCATGCAATATTCATGCTTCACCAGATTTTTAATTTCTTTGAGTGGAGCTTCTAACTGGTAAGATTTGCGTGTGTTTTATTTGAAATTTTGTTGCCTATAATCGTGTGAGAAAGACGCTAAATTAAGCTAATTAAGACAATTTAATTACTTGTTTCTTGCTTGATTAGAGGCTCAATGTTGCAAATTTTCTTCAGAAAATTTGATGAATCTTTTGGTAATTGAATTAAGAAGGATAATATCTAAGTGGGCAATTTATTTATTTATTTATTTATTTTAAATTAAAAGGGAAATATTGCTTCTTATAGTGGATTGATATTTGATGAAATAAGTCAAAGATTATACTCAAAAAGAGATATTAAACTAGGGTGATAGACAAATCCATTTAATAGAGAAATCACGAAGGTATAATAGTTAAATAATAAAATAAAATTGGTTTCTTTTTTTTTGGTTAGACTTAAATATCGATGTTAGACCTTATTTATTAATTTAACTTTTAAGTCAAGTGTTCATTTAATATACACTAGTATGGGAATTAACCATTTATTATTATTATTATTCATTTATTTGTTATAACCAATTTCAATCGCATTAAGCTCGGGTTCGTTAAACTTTAAAATCATATTAATATTTTCACATGAAAGGTTTGTTGAACTTAAATAATAGCGTTAGACTCTTATATACAGCTTTAATTCTAATTTAATGTCAATTTTTAACTATAGAATAGATATTTCTCAATTTTAAGAGAATGTTAATATCAAAATTCATGGCTGATTTCCCTCTCAAAACAATTAAAATAACATAAATATTCTTAATCTGATAATTTTAACAATTAAAACCATAAATGTCTCAATTAAAATAACATTGTATTTGAATAGAAAACAATTAAATTAATGTGTATAAATATTCTAATTATGATATTGTCAACAATTCTAATAAATCCATAGAAACGTTCCAATATAAATTTATCAAAAAGGGTTTTCATACACAAGAATAGATTAAGCCAAATTTATAATATAAAATAGAATAGGGAAATTTTTAAAAAATTTTGAGCTTAGGGAAGCTCAAAATTTGAACTTTTTCCATGAACTGTAAAATAATTTCTCCCATCACTTAGCACCAGTCAAACTCTTTCAACGAATAGATAAGCTAATCAAACAGGCTCTAAATATATTTAATCACCCCAATTTAAAGCTAGTTACTGAGTTTATTAGTTTTTAAACCAAATCCACGTTTCATGTGATACATTGTTGGACATAAATACTAATGTTGAACTATTATAAGCTTTTTGGTCAAGTAGTATCTTTTATTTTTAATATTTATTATATGTTAATGCTTAAACCATATAATAAATACATCTTGTAACTAAGAAAAGAGTGGATCTATTGGCATCCCACTAATGGACTAAAAAAACTCCATTTTTCAATAAATTTTATAATAACAAATTAATGCCTATATCAATTTAGAAATTAATTTTAATTTCCTGTTCTTTAAAAATGCTTTTCACACCCCACTATTATCTCATAAACCCTTTTTTTTTTTTTTTTTTTTTTATGCTATTCAAATCATTCTTAGAACAAAAATATAGTGCAATGGAGGAAGAAGATTTGCAATGTGATATGTCTTGTTACAAACAATATAAAATTGTAAGTTTTTAATTACTTCACTTATAAATTTGTTGTTTTATTTTTTTTGTTTTTCTCAAAGTATTGGTAGCTACTTTTAATCTATATATTGTGTTGTTTAATTGTATTATGTTCTTGAGATTATTTGTAAGTCAAATCTTAGAATTTTGAAACGATCTAAACTCACCCATCATCTTAATAAATTACTCTCCTTTTTATCCTTTTAAGGTTTTCTTCTATCATCAATTCTCCCAGCCCACTTAGACACTCACTCTTCGCAATGGACCCTTCATCGCCATCCTCTGTTCAATCCGTCCCTCTACGACTTTCGACCATGCGAAACCCACCGCCTCGATCTGTTCGATCCATCAAGGTCTCCGCTATTTCATTTCATTTCATTTTACTTTTTTTTGTTTTGTTTTATTGTTTATTTATGGGGGTTTTTTTGTTTACTTTAGTTTATTTGTTTGATTCGGTGTGGAATGGGGTCGGTACCTTTGCGGTAATGTTAACGAGGTGATAGTTTCGTTAGTGAGTAACAATTTTTGGTGGGTCTAGACAATTTGTTGCTAACCACTGAAAATTTCCAAAAGTTAGATACGTAACGATACCGGATCCAGGCAGTAGCAAAGAATGATAGTTAACAATGTTCTGGTGGGTCTTTGTACAAATTTGGCTACACTACTGAGTTTTCGAAACACAGATGCGGTAAGGATACCGGGTCCAGTGCGGTAGCAACACCCTTGTTTGAGAGATGTTTTGCGGTAATGTTACTAAGCTGATATTTGTGTACAATGTTTTGATAATTGTATGGAAGAATACGGTTTTTTGGTTTCTAGAACAATGGTGCACCGAAATGAAACATAGACATGGTAACGTTACCAAACCCCGATACTGTAGCAAGTCCCCGTTTGAAAGATGTTTTTAGTAACGCTACTAAGTTGATGTTTGGTGACAATTTTTTATAATGGACTGAAAATATCGTTTTTGGGATACTAAATCATGAGTAGTCTTAACCATAATTAGGTGTAGAACGGTCCCAGTACCGGAGCAGACCCCTGTGGTAGCATTACTAACTAGTGTTTCGTGTAATTAAATGTATTGGAGAAATTGTTTTTGATTACTATAAGTTATACGATGTTACATGTAGTAACAAAAACATAGGTACAGTATATTATAGACTCAAACCGTTGCACCGTTGCAAACGCTCCATGGTGATTATGTTTGGTTTATCAATTGGGTTTGTATGTTTATTTCAGCTTCATAGTTTCGTTTCGTTTTATACTGCAAATCCTGAGAATGATGGGAAGAGAGTAAAGCGAGTTCTACTCACAATGGAAGGTGCTATTAGAGATCATCCCTTGTGGGTTGGTGCTACCGAGGAGAAATGACTCTGCATTGGAGGTACTGGTTAACTTAATTGCTCTGGTTTTTGATATTTTTTCAGTATGAGATATAAAGTATAACTCAAGTGTGTTTTAGTAATATATCACGTGTGACAAAATAACTAGCTGTTCAGTTTATAGTTTTTTGAAAATGATATGACCATGAAATTAAGTATGTTCTTGGGTCCAAGAGTAACAATAAGTGATGAGATGTGACACAGTAACTAGTTGGCGTTTTTGTAATTTTGGTACCATTGGGTAATGATAGACTTATAGATTTATCGAGGTTCATGATGATATAATTCAAATTTATTTTTGTAGTATTTAGCATGTGACAAAATAATTAGCTGTTATGATAACCATGGGAAAATTTACATGAAACCATGTAATGAAATATGAATTCTAACGCCATAGTACTTTAGTAATTATAGAAATGAGTTACCATGACTGGCTGTGTAAATATAACTGTGAAAATTCAAAAAATGCTAACGATTTGAAAATTTAATTGACCTCTCCAAAGTTTCTGAAATAGTCATGAACCTCTTTCAAAGTTATGTTTTATAAAATTTTCTAGAAATTTACCATACTCATACACAATATGGGTTAATCACTTTTTCCATATTCTGCAGGATTGGAGAAGTATGCATGACAAAGCTGTTTCTCGGACAATTCTTCAACTCCTGAGGATGTGAAGATTGATCAGGAAATCTATGAGAAGATATTGCCTGCTGCAAACCTTCTTGAGGCCTGAGCATTTGGATATACAGTGGTACTTCAATAGAGCTTCTGGCTGGTATGGTTACTGACCTTCTTGTTGTGGGAAGTTTATTTGTCGGATTGAATTAATCTACACTGCTTATTGTAGGACTAGGTATAACTTTCTAAGTGTTTGTGATGTGATGTGGTGCTGTAATTGAGCATTTTTAATGCTTATGTTATGATTGCCTTTGTTCCATTTAAATGTGAACTTCAATAAATAAATATTATAGAATGTGAACTGAATAGTTGATGTATCATCGTAAATAAAGTTTTTGATCTTGCTCGACAAGTGTGAAATATGGGTTCTAGAATTAAAGAGAAAACATTTAGGGAAGACCGCTCCCTGTCTTTTATTAGTTTTAATTTTAGATTTCCAAACCCTGGCTAAAACTTGATAAACAAAATGATTATGTGTAGAATAGGCAGAGTTTTGAAACACTAGGAACTTACAAAGATGGGGCATATGCTTAAATCACGCAGTTAATCTGAATATTATTAGACATAGATGCAGCATTACTTTGGCTCCAAAAAAAAAGGGAAATGTCTAGCTGCATGCATTTTCTATTGTCCATCTTATTT